TATATATAGATATTTTCTTTAATATTTTAATAGAATATTTTTTTTTTATATTATCATAAATATTTTCTGCAGCGCATGTGATTTTAGACATTTTATGGCTAATTTTTTTTTACACTTTGGAATTSATTATTGAAGTTTTATTAAGAACCTCTAATTTTGTATTATAATAAATATATCCTATGTTACTTAAAACTATTAAGTATTATAACAATGAAAGAATTTTTGAAATCGGTTCAGTTGTTATTTAATTTTAATCGTTACAAACATATAAAAATACAAATTTTTCCCATATAATATTATTATGAGAAGGTATTAGTTTATAGGATACTGATAGTGAGAAAGTGGAACTTCCATACAACAAACTTCCATTCAACCAAATTTTTTGTGTGATCAAATGTTTTATCAAACCMCAAAAAATTAGTATCRAATTCGTTTCATTCAATTTAACGAAGTTCTMTTTTATACAATATTGTTTTGCCCTTGAGATTTCGTAATAATATAGAAATTTTGCTGTATTAAATAATAATTGGGTTAGTAATAATAATATTACTAGTATATTAGTAATGTAATATACAATACTCTAGGCATTAGGATGACTTACACCTTATTTCCGGTCAGAATTATTTATCGTATATAATAAAAAAAAAAATCATAATATAGAATATAAATCTATCACATCAGTGACCYTCATGAAATTTACAATGTCTCACTTATCCACATTTTTTCTATAAACAAGTAAATTTGTTGAACATATATAATCGGTTGTTTATTGTACAATATATTTTTATTAATATTGAATTTACCTGACTTATACGATATAAAGTCGTCGTACACATCAAAAGATGACTCGATTGGTCCGTAAATCATCATATCTTTCTGTATGTTTTCGTAGACAAGAACATATGGAAAGTCTTTAACTAAAATTGAAAATAGTATAATAAAAGTGTCGTATTAAAAAATCATTATGATTATTAAATAATTTAATTGACTTTGGTAATTCACCAAATAAAGTGCTCCACTTCCATTGTTTTATATATTTCATTATATATTAGTGGCTGAATTACTTGTCTTTCCGGGTTTAAAGTATACAAAATATAAGTTTAATTGTTATCTGGCAAGATTAAATATTGTTTAATATATTTAAATACGATTTGAATAATATT